GTTAAATCCCAGGTTATTGTTCAGCACAGAAGTAGGAGGGAGAACATGGAAGAAGTCATCCTGATCATTTGTACATGTACATACTTCAATAGTCACAACATAAATCAAATGATTGTTTCTGTCAAGCTGACAGTTTCAGTTTTATTACTGGACATTCAGGCGTTATTTATTTTCTGACATAAAAATGTATGTAGAGATTATACAGCTGTTTTTAAATAGTGAACATATATAACGATCTAAAGTCTTAATTCTGGATGTTAAAAGCTTAAAGTGTTGTAGAAGAAGACGAAATATAAGAGTAGGGTCTTTGATCATTTCCACATAAATAAAGCAAAACCTTTGCAGCATTCATGACTGACTATAACTCATAGTTTCGTGGCTGAAACCTGAAACAGCATCTGTCACAATTCTGGTTTCATGTTTTTTACTGTGTCTTAACATTCCTGAGACTTCTCTTTGTGCTCCATCTGGTGATCCTGGCACGAGTGAGCTGCTGTAGACTTGAGCAGGTGGTTGTTTTCTGAACATTTGGTGCTATTTCTCCTCGTGCGGTGAGTTTGCAGGTGTTCGCTGAAGGAATGATAACAGTGCTGATCGCTCACTTTCACTCACACTTGGTCTTCCTCCCAGTTCAGCATGTGTTTGTGATTTGTGAGCAATGACATGTATCTCCAGTGAGCCTCGTGAGTTTCCCCTTTGCATTTGAGCATGGGTGGTCGAACAGATGTCCGCGGCTGTCGTGGTTAAGACTGGTTTTCCTCCTGATCGAATGACTTGTGGAAATGTGTGTTTTGTAAACTGCTGTCTGTAGTATTTATCCTGAGCTGACGATTGTTTCCTTGGGAAAGAACATCCAGTCTGCTTTGTTCTGGTGTTTAGAACAATAGATGTTCCTCTGGTGTCATGTTAGCATCACAGTTATTGGTTTAGTAACACATGCAGCTCTGATGCTGACTCGGTGCATCCAGGCTCATTCACTGTTCATATTTTGCCCTGAAACCACTAACCGGATATTTTCTTGTAATTCCTCAGAAAGAAGGTGAGTGAGGGCAATGCGGTGGTTAAATCCAACCCGTCAAAGCGCCACCGGGATCGGCTGAACGGGGAGCTCGACAGGCTGATGGACCTGCTGCCGTTTCCTGAGGAGGTGCGCTCTCGCCTGGACAAGCTGTCAGTCCTCCGTCTCAGCGTGGGATATCTGAGGGTTAAGAGCTTCTTCAAAGGTAAAGACCAGCCACAAGTGCATATCCAAAGATTTGTTGAAATGTCAGTGCTGCGTGGTGAAATGAAACGATGATAAGCCCAC